CTCTGTCTCTGGTGAATCCTCTCACCCTCCGCATCTCTGGCCTGTACCCCAGTTCTGTATGAATAAATAAATAAATCTTTAAAAAACAAAAACAAAAAACCCCCAAAAACCTATCGACTATCATTAGGGAATGACTGCCCCTGAATTACCACTATACATCCACCACCAAGCCTATGATTGAAGACATAATGCCAGGTATTGGCAAGGGTGTGAGAAATGGACCCCTTGTTAGCTGTTGGCAGGGAAGTAAAATGACACAACCACTTTGGAGAACACCGACAGTTTCTTATAAAGTGAAATACGCGTTTATCTTAAGGCCCAGGGATTCTGCTGTTAAGAAACTTCCCAAGAGAAACGGAAACATATGAAGACAGGTCACCGATGTTCACAGCATTATTCTTAACAACCCAAGTTGCAAATCATCCACATCTCCATCGAAAGGTAAATGAGCTATTCTTGCTCTCCGTACAATGGGATCTAACCCACCAGTAAAAACCAACAAAATGCGCACAGAAACAACAGCTTCATGAAAAGTCAGGAAACATTTCTATTAAGTGGAAGAGGGCAGACAAAAAATACGTTTGGTTTGATTCCATGTAGAAATGTCCAGAAAACGCTTCTGGGGGTGGCCAGGAGAACGGGCTGGGCTCGGGAGGGGTCACGAGCAGGAATTAACCGCAAGGACGCACAACGGAGCTTTCCGGCGGCGTGAAAAGAGCTGAAGTTGCATTTTGATGGCTGCACAAGTCCATGCATTTATTAGAAATCATTAAATTTTATACTTACAGTGGGTGAATTTTACAACATATAAATTACACCTCGCTGAGGTTATTACTACGAATGTGCATTGACTTAGGAGACGCCCAGAAGTGAATGCTGACTTGGCACAGGGGAAGCACAGAGGGCCAGGCTGGGCATAAAACTGGGGGCTGGTCCATGTAGGGGCAGACCTAGAAAGTCTTGGTACCGCCAGCGAACAGATAGAGCCGCTGCTCTGACTCTTACGGATCTGGGAGGACACAGCAAAGGACATATGAACCTCCAGGCATGGCATCAGGGCGGGTGGAAGGAGAAGCTTCTGGGCAGCCCTGAGGGGGGGCCAAGGGGGTGAGCGGGTGAGAGCCGAGATCCCCTGCTCATCCCCTGCTCAGGTAGCCCGTGCAGTTACTTGTGGAGGTTCCTAGTCAGCGGGCCTCGCCCCTGGGCGCCTCCAGGCTGGGCACAGAACAGAATGGATGTCTCTGGAGTTCTGTGGCAAGGGCCATTTCCTTGTATCGTTTCTTTTTTTTTCTTTTTAAAGATTTTTTTTTGCATAGGTGTAGGCCAGAGGTGCGGTGGGTGAAGGGATTCCCCAGAGACAGAGGGTGGCACAGAACAGGTGGATCCACTGAAATCCCCTGCTAAGGGGTGCAGCGGGAGACAGGAGGGGTCCACTGCGCCCTGGGGGTCACTCCCTGGCCAGGGTAGCACTCAGGCTATAGCGATAACATAACATAAGGCTGAGGCTAACCCCGGGCTACACGGAGGCCCTCCCTTAGCTCGGTAGGCATGTCTGCTGTTCCTTCCTGAGCTGGCCAGTCAGGAGTGGCCACAAGAGGAGGCAGAAAAGCAGCTCAGGGAACAAAGTTCCTTACACCCCTGGTACCTAGAGGCAGGAGGATGGCCACTGAGCAGGGAGACATGGGGCGTCCATCCAGGCCGCGGGGGCCAAGACAGGAGAGGGGACTTTGGCCACTAGAGAAGGCCGAGCCGGCACGGTAAGCAGCCTGGAAGTGCCTATTCTGAGTAATACGCCTGCTTTGGTTCAGAGGGGCTGCCTTGGTTTGCAGAGCACCTGGCTCTGGGGTGACGCCCTCAGAGGGGTCACCTCCTGGGAGCAGGGGTGGCTTGAGGGGTCCTGGCTGGGATTGGTCAGATTGCGTCGCCAAGATGGCTCTGGGCTGGCGCCTGGTCCTCCCCAGGGAGGGGCCGGTCTCTTGGACTTTTCAGACGGCAAAGCACAGGGCGTGCAGACTCACACGCTTAGAGCAAGGTGCCGTTTCTTCCTCCTCTCAGGCGGTTCTTTTAGTTGCTGTACCTTGCGAGGTGTGAACCCAGCGCTGATGAATTTCCTGGCGTCTCCTCTGTTTCCCGCTAAGCAGCCTCATCTAACTAGAATGTTCTTCCCCTTTTTCAGCTGCGGGGGCCCCTTAGGGGACTTAGGCACGCACCTTTCTCATTCTGAGCTTTCAACACTCCTTTTTAGGCCTTGATGACTTTTAAAAAGTAGGCCTAAAACAAATGATCTATTTCCTTCCATTTGCATCAGGTCTCACTGGAATCCAAACTCCCTTTTCAACCCATACTGCAGAACTGGCTCCAAAATCATGCCTTCATCAGAGAAACTAACACAGATGAATGGAAAACAGATGCTGGTAATGAGGAAATTCACATTCATGAAAAATGACTTAGCATTTGCTAGTTCCTTCCCGAAGAGATGGTGCAGGCTGGGGTCCTGGGGAAATGCGTGGATTTTTCTCGAGATGGTTATTTGAGTCAGAACGTGCCTGTTCAGCAAAAGGCTTTCTTGATTTACAGCGTCAGGACTGGGCATGTTTGCAGAGTAAATTGGAGGCGAAGGGCTCAGTGCTGCCTCTGAGCTGGGAGGTGGCACTGCTGGGCTGTGCCCGCTGCCCTGGGCAGTCACAAGGTCAAGGAGCTCGAGTCTGAGCTTCTGAGCACAGTCTGACCTTGACAACAGTGGAGCTACAATGAGAGAGGCCGGGGAGCCAGGCGACGAGCTGGCCAGAGCCAGGAGAGGTCCAGCAAGGCTGTGTCAGGAGGGAGGGAAGGTCCACACCTGGGCGTGAGGCAGGGACAGCCAGGGTGGGCTGGCAAGGGAGCACAGGCCTCAGGCCCTGGCCTCAGGTAAATGGCAGTGTGACAGCAGGAGACATCTACACCTGCCGCTGGCTCAGAGCCGCCCAGCTGAATCAGCCTGCCATTTGAGCCTTCTTGTCAGGGCGAGGGCAGGCAATAAAGTGTCTTTCCCCTCACACAGACACAGTGGCCAGGAGACATCGGGGAGGTGGGCTCAGCCCTCACTGGGGTGGAGAGCAGCCATCCAAAGTGGCTGCCTTACAGGATCCCTGAGCTAGAAGCAGCCCGGAGGAGACAGCAAAAGCCCCAGAGAAAGCTACTCTAGGGACGAGAAATGGCGCTGCCCCAGGGCACTTTTGGAAGGGAGACAGCCCTGGAGGTCACTGAGCTGGCTGGTGCCCCCCTGCGAGTCCGCCGGAGCCTCTGGAGCTGGTGGCTCTGCTGAGGCTCCTGGGACCATGTAGCGGGCAGCTTTCCCACTAGCGTGCGCCCAGAGGGGCTCAGAGGAGCAGCAGTCAAGAACATAGGCCCTGGGGCTGCAGTCGGGGTTTGGCTCCTGACTGCCCCCTGCCCTGCACCCCCGCCCCCCCCAGCTGCTGTTGGATCCTCAACCTTGGGTTCCTGGCCCATAAAACAAGGCCTGAAGACAGGGCTCTCCTGACCCTAATACAGTGTATGTGAATCCAATATATTGTGTGAGAACCCAATATAGAGCTTGCGAACCCAATATAGTGTATGCAAACCCAGTATAGTGTGTGCGAACCCAACATAGGGTGTGGGAACCCAATATAGTGTGTGGGAACCCAACATAGTGTGTGGGAACCCAATATAGTGTGTGGGAACCCAATGCAGGGTGTGTGAACACAACATAGGGTGTGCGAACCCAATATAGTATGTGTGAAC